TTTACCTTTAGTTTGTAATAATATGATGCTGTTTAATGTTTTCATAAATCTGTGCGGTGTTTCTTAGTGAAAAATGTAACTAGGAAACGCTTGTTTGCTTTATTTCGTTTCCTTTGGTGCTTGTTTAGCTGTCCAGGGAATGATGTTGGTGAGTAACACGGCAAAGAGGCTGTAGTTCGGATGTGTCAAACATAGGACCCGGGGGCCAGAATCGGCCCGGCAAAGATTCCAGTCTGGTTCGCTGGACGGAAGATATGGTGGAGGGTATAAAGTTTTGTTCTTTTAATTGCATTTTTATAAGATTTCCAGCTGTTCCTGCTAATAAAGAACGCCCCCCCTCCCTCCACACACACACATACAGCCACTCATACACTAAAGTAGGTAAATATTTTTATTGTTTAGTAAAAGCTTATTTAGACTCTTCACTATTCTAGGAGACATATTCTTCTTCTTTTAAATAAAAAATACTATAAAAGGTAAAATTTTTATTATCTAATTCTATGGGGTTTGTTTAGTTTGTGATTTTTCTTCTTCTGTTGCTGCTCCAGTCTAGTTCTTGATTTAGTGATTTGTCAGATAAACTTGAAGTTAATCTTACACTCCTCTGCCGTGACATTGAGGAGTGTGTGTGCTTTTACTACCAGTTGGTGATAAGTTTCAATTTGTTTGGCACTGAAAGATGGAATGCTATATGGAACAAATAACATCATGATGGTTTCTGAATGGTTTCATGATGGTTTTACCTACAAATGCTACCTTCAACTCGTATTTTGTTGTTGGATTAGGATTTCAAGGACATATGGTCACTTGCAAAAGTCAGCTATTATCATTGTTGAAAAAGAAAGAAGAAAACAAAGATAGATGACTTTGGGATATTTTATCCCAAAATACACCAAATAAATCCTAATCAACATCCATCAGGCTAATTGTTGAATAACTTACAATGAAAATTACTTATAAGCCAATAAAAATTTCCAATCTTTTTTTTTTGTCCTGCTGAGAATTGCTTCACACTGTTAGCGGAAGGAAGAAAACGTTGTGTAAACAATTTTATCTTGATGAGAAAAGCTACATGGATTCATCTCCGCCCAGGATCACACCCACCCATGTCAGCAGCCTCAAAACCCCCAACAAACAAGCTGTCACTGACTACATCGAGGGCAGCCGACTTTGTTGTTCTTTTCTTTTCTTTTCTTTTTCTTTTCTTTCTTTTTTTTTTAAGATAACACGTTTCATCTGCAAAATTCAGAAGGAAACTCGCACACACACCAGTGATGGTTGTTGTAAGGAGGCTCTGACGAGGTGAGTTGAAACGATTCATTTGGTGCTGGATGGTTTGAATCAATGTAATACCCTCTGACTTTATGATAAAAAAATGTATTTTTTCTTGTTATTTCAGCAGAATGGCTTACCACAGTCAGGGGATGATGGAGCACATTTCACTCGTCCGTCCGCTAGCTCTCCACGGCATCTCCATGGACAACAGCGGAGCGCACCGTCAAGACGCGCTTCGCCTCGGACTGCCCTGCCACCTGGACGCCTACTTCGACCCCGTGCACGGACAGAGATTACCCTGCAGACGCTTCTCCTACATCCCCTTTCACGGACCCCTCGGTGTGTGCGATTACTCTTTCGAGCCCGCGTTTATCCGGAAAAGGAACGAACGGGAACGGCACCGAGTACGCTGCGTAAACGAGGGTTACGCGCGCCTCCGGGAGCACCTGCCCCACGAGTTCGACGACAAACGGCTCAGCAAAGTGGAGACGCTGCGAGCGGCCATTGACTATATCAAACACCTGCAGAGCCTGCTGGATGTAAACGTCTCCGGGGTGGAGGTATCACTGGGAGGGGCGCGCAAACTCGAGCGGCTACAGCAGAGCTCGGAGTGCACTAGCGATGGAGAAACCCAAACCAGCCTAAGCGAAAGCGGGGATGTTGTTTAAATAGCCCTGCCTGTCACTCAGACCTGCTGTGTGTGATCAAAGTGTAAAAAGGAAAAAGGGACAGTAAAGATGAGCTGTAATTATTATTGAGTCATATTATTTTATATCATGCAGTCAATGAAATAATAATGTCTTTCTTCACTTTCGGAAAAGGTACATGTTACAAAAAAATCCCAGCTCATTTATGTCATCATTA